TAGCTTTTGTATACTTTCACACACATTTTGTCATTTAAGTAGCATAACTACTAACAGGAATTGCTTTTGGATCTTACTCCTGTCTTTCAATAACTGAACGATTAGGAAAATGCACATTGCTAATCCTCATTCACTTGGAAATCAAAATTCATTCAATACATTTTATTATTAAATTACTGGATTCTTTTTCTGAACAGTAATGTATAGCAGTAATTTGTTAACTCTCAATTACTGCCTAAAGAACTGATTAATCACTACACCCTTTTCCTAGATAAGTACAAGAGAGACCAGAGGGATTTATGGCAAGTACTGCCTCATTTGACAATAAGAGACAGTTTTGGGTTTTAAAAAATATTCCTCTTGGATGGAGGGGCTGAAGGAAGGGCAGGGGAATGGGGAAAAAAAAAGAACCAAGAGAGATTATGTAAAGGTGCAAATTTCCAATGATGAATGTCATTATATTGCATACCTAAAATGTACCAATAAAATTAAATTAAAACATTTTTTCCTCTTTTCTTTCCTAGGGTCACAGAGCATTCACTTCTCTGTTGTGAACTGGAAAAGATTCATGGATCAAGCTTATGGTATAACGCCAATAGGTGTAAATATGTAGGCTTCAGTGGAAAGGATGTTTGAATTCTAATAAAATTCCATATTAACCTCTTTCATCGCTATATTATATCCTCTACTTCTATTTTAAAATAAAAGCCAAGGTAATTTCAATTGTACAATAATTTATGAAGTGAAAATAAAATACTTTCTAAAGCAATTATTTGCTTTAAAATTTGTTTAAACTTGTACATATCACTTCAACCAACAAAGCATTTTGTATGGATGGATTACTTGGAATGACCCTATATTCCAAGTCTTAATCTTATTTGATCAAACAGTAACTATAAGACTGTACTCTACTGGGGAATGAAACATAATGAATTGGATGGTAAAGTTCCAGCTGGGTGTGGTGGTGTATGCCTGTAATTCCAGCACTTCAGAGGCTGTTGTAAGAGGACTGTGAGTTCAAGGCCACCCTGAACCATGCAGTGTGACCCTATCTCAAACAAAACAATAAACACAACAAGATGGCAAAGTTCTAATTGTAATAATCATTTCCCAAAGTATATATTACACGTAGAGGCACTCTAGCAGAAAGTTTAGTAAGCATATTGTTACCACTAGTCTCAGTTTTTGCTGCAAAGACAGGATATGGGAAAAATTATCGAACTCCAAGGTTTTGGTCTTAAGTACATAAGTACCACTAAACACAAGGGTGCTTCGTCCTCTGACTAGAACTCTCATTTTGAAGATCCAATGAGCAACAGAGACAAATCTATACACAGTATGAATAAAAGACATTATGCAGCCCAAGACATTGGGCAGCTTGAGTCATGAAGCAGAAGCAGACACATGTGACCATGGGGTTTAACGCGGATGCACGACAGAAGCAAATTAAGGACTGCAGACTCCCATAACAGCAAATATGAATTCCAGAGGATGCAGAAGCAGGAGAAAGACAGACATTAATCAAGCCAGAAAATGGCAATGCTTCACAATATTAATTCTAGAATTAGTTGCAGTTCTCTCTAGATTTAAGCTACAATTAGCTCTCGAAATACAATGATTTGGCATTCCCATAATACTTCTTTCTAGAGTAGGCTTTATGAAAAGACTATTAAGTATTAAAATGAAGAAAAAGATGTAAAAAATAAAGGAGTCATGAAATGATACAAAAATGAGTCTCCCTTGAGACAAAGAGCAAATAAAATATTGCTTAGCAATTTTAAAATATTTTGTTATTGATAAATTTATTCTTACAAAAGCCCCTCCCCAGTTGGACAAGAGGATTAAGAGATCCTTTTGCAAATGGAAAATTAAGGTTCACTGTCTGTGCAAAATAAAGGAATAAAGATCATTTCTTTGCTACATAGGAGTTAAAACAGGGATTACTAGGTTTTTTCTAAAAATCTACTCTTTGCTTTGAGAAAAGAACAGAACCTCAGGTAACAGACTACACGTTTATCATCCATCTTTGCTGACAACAGTGACCACATGGCTATGTATAAGTCAATGCAAAATAGGTAGAATTAAAATACTAAGTAGGACTTCTAAGAAATCAATTTCAAGGGAATGCATTCTTCTTTGTTTCTTCTTCCTTCAAGCAGCCTGAAAAGCTAATGTAATGGCTGGATCTTTTGCAGTCATATTGACCAAGAGGTACAGCTAGTCACTGAGGAATTAGGAGGCAGAAAGAAAGCAGACAAAGTCCCTACTAACTTCCTGAGGCTACCATATCAGCCCTAGACTGCCTCCCTCTGGCCTTCTTTCACATGAGTGAGAAGTACATTATCTAATTTAAACCACTATAATTTTGTTTTCTTTTTCTGAGTATAGATAGATGAACCTAATTATACTCCAAGTCCTAATCCTATCTGGATCAGCATTAGCTACCAGACCGTATTTCTACTGGAGAATGATATTTACAGGAAAAGATAGTCACTTAAAGTTCTAACTAATTATAATCATGCAATTTCTTATACAAATTGTATAATAACAGAATAATTTGCAAAAGCTTTCAATGTATACCAATAACAAATATTAAATATCAATACTGAAGAAAAAAGTTTTAAAGATTTTCTACAAAAAATTAATGTTTCCCAAAGTAATACAATTTTGGATAAGTTAGCAACAAGAGAAAGCCATAAGGTAATACTTTTAAATATGGTCCTAAATTTGTTGCTGAACAAAGTTAAAGAACTATCATCCTTGTTTCCTAAGAACTATCATGTTTAGAAAGATAACATGTGACATCCACAAAGCAATATACAAATATATACATCTTTATATAAATATTGCTTTAACACAAAACACCAAGTATTTTTATTGTGTTTTTTGTGAACAAACTTTTTGGTAATACAACTGCAGTTAAGAACAGACACAAGTTGTTAAGCCACAACATAATGGAAGACGAAGGTTTTAACATGATTTTTCTATGCTCAAATCAGATTTAGTTTCCTATGCAACTCAGAGCTTTATGTTACTCAGATTGTCTGAACACTGGCACGAGGCAGAATTTTACTTATCAAAACACTGCAGAAGACAGTCTATTTTATGTGGGAATAATGGCTTTTTAACAGTGTTCGATTAGGGGATATTAGAAACCTTGCCTCAAAAGCCATTAGCAAATTTATCTAGAAGATTTTTCGCTGTATCATAAAACAACCAGCAACTGAAAACATCCTAAAACTGCTTCGCATGCTAGTCTGCCTCAGACACTTGGCATATAAGCTGTTTTCAGGGGCTAGCAATGAGTGTCAGTGATACTTAGGGACAAAAGATATTGGCATCCAAGAAGATGATGCTAAAAATCTCATATAGCCACAAATTTTAAACAATTTGCATTTTACTTTGAAGTGAAATTTCTTTTTATAAAGAAAGCTTAATTTTTACTTTCTCAACTAGCCTTAGCAATTAGGGAGGTCTGACTGATGGCTTTCCCAATATTATCAATTAATTCAAATTTGGAAATCAATCCCTACTTATTTTCCTCCTAAAGCAAAGTGCCTTACAATAATATAAGCTCATCTGAACAGGTGACTTAGAGGTTTAAGTCATTCTTTTTTGTAACCAATCCTGGAATTAAGACTAGCCATTTATCTCATTCTCTTTTTTTCTTTTATTTTTTTGGCTAGAGATAACAAAATAATAGAAACTGAAAATCTGGTCTGGGCCTTATGTATTGCTACAATGTGACAATGAAGAGCAAAGCTAAAGGCAGCTGTGTACTGTGGTGTCTAGTTTGGTTTGAATTTGGAGGATTCTGAAAAAAAGAAGTAATGTTTTCTGATGAAATTAATGTACCAATTACAACAGACCTGCATGCAACACAACAGCTAATAACATTTGTAACTTCCTTCTTGAAGTTTAAATACTTTGCTTTTATTCTTATGTTAACATTTTTTGTTAAGCTTCTAAAATCCACAAAAGTATTAAAACTAAATTATAACAGGTATAGCTGAACATTATCTAGTTTATTCTGATAAATATTGACTTAAGACTCCCTGGGATTTCAATTCTACCAATTTTATCTGCCTTCCCTATCTTCATGAGGAAAAACAAAGGATTGCTAAAAAACTGCTATAGGAAATTTCATTCATGAAGAAGCTCTCTTACTACAGTTTATGCATCACCATCTGCACTGAGACCACTGATGTCTGTAGAATACAATGTAAAATTCCTAGATCTGGTTCACAACCTATAGGATCCAAATCTGTGCTGAGAGGCCCAGTACATAAAACATCACTTAAAATCAAAGTCCTTAAACTGCAAATTTATTCCTCTTTGTCCATTTGTCAAAGTAAATGGGAAACAGTGAGTTTCTAGACTGCTTTCCCTTTTCTGTCTCTCTATACTAGCTAAACTAATTGTAGTTTTTCTACTTTTTTCTTTGGTTTCTCTCTCACATTTTGGACACGAATGTGCTATTTTTCCCCAAGTGCTTCCAAGCTTTTAGATTGGAAATACTGAGATGACACACCAACCAGAGATGATCACACAGAAGGTCTGGTTCACAGAACTGATGCTTTAACTCTAGCTCCTGTATAGATCTCAGCATAGATCTTGAGCAATTGCTCAAAAAATGACACTTCTAGTAGTTTTATTTCCTGAGAATAATCATCCTCATCTCTGTTTTAGGCAATGTATTTGAGAACACTGCCCAATTCTCCCTACTGAAATTCCACCTCTAAATTAATATGTAATGCTGAAAACCAGTTTTTCTCCCCATAAACATCAGGCATGAATGCTGGCAGTATGTTTACCATGCCCTGAATTCAGGGCACTGGGAACCCTCCAACTCTAGGAGGTGGGAGTCACGAGGTGGAGAGCATAGCACCTTGTGGAGGCAGTGACTCACATGCTGATGCAGCAAGCATTTCAGGGTGTGGCCCTCAGGCAGACAGCACTGCAGAGGGGATGCTCAGCCAGCTCACAGCCGGCCTCCATACCTGCCCAGCCAGTGTAACTGGTGCCATCACGAGGGTCTGCTGACTTCAGGCCTCTCTCCATCTGCCGAAGGAGCTCCTGAATCTTATTGGTCAAGCGTTGTGAGAACTCAGGAGTCAGCTGTAGATATTAAGGGAAGAAAAAATATCAAGAAATACAGGCCACTCAACTTCCTGCACTATAGGCTACCAGAAACTGAAGAGTACAGTATTTCATTTCCATCTAAGTCACATTTTTCTGTCTGGGAGAACTATCAACAGCAGCAGATTAACAAAATCAAAAAGTACTACTGTTTTTCTACTCAAAGCAAGAACTATTATTAGAACTTAAATGTTGTATATAAAAATTTTCAAGTAATAGGGATTATCTATTACTTAAACCAATATTGTTCATATAATCAAAAAGTCATTTTATTAAATTAACCACAAATTAAAAGACATTTACTGCTCTGAAGCCATTGGATTCAAACAGCAGCAATGTTAATCCCCTGAAAGAAACATTTTGGTTTTATTTTTTTTAAAAAGATGCAAATTTTTTTTCTTGTTTTGAGAAAGGGTCTCACTATGTAATTCAGGATGGCTTTGAACCCTCTATGTAGCCCAAGCTGGTCTGGAACTCATGGTGATCCTCCTGTATTAGCCTCCTGAGGGCTGGGATTATGGGCACGTGCCACCATGCCTGGCTTATCGGCATTTTTTTTAAAATTGAAGAAGTAGCATAAGACAAGCAGAACACATCCATGTACCTTAGGAACCTCAAGCATAGTACAAAGAATGTTAAAGGTAGCATCAAAATTCCTCTCTAGCACAGTCCCATGAAAAAGGACGGATCCTAGGTACTGCTGAGTGCATGAGCCTGGCTATACCCTTCCTGTACCAGCTGAGTGATAATCTCTTTCTGCTCAGGTACCTTTACAGACTCAGCTTGGTGACACCTGCCCCACCAACTCTACAGGTACTCTGAAGATTAAAGGAGTTGTGTGGAACAGGTCACTTCCACTCGGGGACATAAATACTGACAGTTTTTAACCATTCTTTAGCAGGCAAGGTCTATGACAAGGAATAACGTGCACATGGCTTGAAGGCACACCACAGCCGGGCTCTGGGGTCAGGAACATCCCACAGGTAGGGGAAACTGTGAAGCCCTCATAATCATTAATCGATATACTTTATGTATCATTCACTTTAGGAACTTGCTGTTATCCCAGAATTGGATTTTTCTAAGCTGTAAAATTTCAAAACAATGTTGAGGAACATTACAAGAGCACAAACATTTTATTTCACCATGTAAGATTTGTAAAAACAAATCTAACTACTGCTTCATATCATCTTAATACTAGGAAAAGCTAGAAGGTAGTATTAGAATTACTAATTTAAAAAGACATTGCCTTCTGAGGAGCACCCTGAAAAGGCACGTCAAACTTTCTTTCTTTTTTGAGACAAGGTCTCCCTGTGTAGATCAAGCTAGCCTTGAGCTATATAGCCCAGGCTGGCCTCGAACTTGCAGTGATTCTCTAGCCTCAGCCTCCCAAGTGCTGAGATTATGTGTGTGCACCACCATGCTCAGCAGGCAAATCAAACTTTCAACCATATCTGTATTATTTATTCTGAAGCACCACTGTGATTCCTCACTTTACACTCTGAAGAAACCATTGTTTGACCAACACACCTCTGTTATTTAATTTCTGCCAAAAGGTTAAGATTTCAACAAGAAGTGAAAATATTCATTAAGATAAAATATACTTTAATATTAATATACAGGCCTATAAATCTCAGAAAGAAGAGTGCATACACATGACAAGCCACCTCCAGTCATCATGGAGAATTTGCCATCTTGCTTGGCATTACTTACAGAGGCCAAGAATTATGAGAACGCCCAAACCTCAACAAGGGAAGTTACTTTCTGCTTGGCATATACTACATTTAATAAAGGTGACCTGAATGAAAATATTGACTGCATTTGGCTGATGACCAAATTATTCATACTCTAGCAATAATGTGATTGAGTCTCTAAAAGCCTTTTCTTCATAGATGCCACAAAACAGAGCAATTCCTTATTGAAATGTTTGAGTTAACAAATTAAGTAGGGCAGATCTCTAGGGTATAATCTTTTGGGTTCAACATCAAATAATCTTAGAACCCCTATGCTAGTTTTTCAGTAGGATCTGTCCAAAGACTATGTGGGACAGTAAATTACATTGTTATTTTTGGATCAAAGGTTACATTTATGAATATCATTTTTTCCCTTGCTTCAAAATGAATTAAATTTGTAAAAAGCGCTTCACTTATAAGCAGCCTAAATAGTGTACTACACTGTACTGAAGACTCCTGTCAGGAGGACACACCCTCCAGTGTTTTCTTTGCTAAGTTAGCATGAAACAGCTTGTCCTCCTCCAACAACACATACACTTCAGCTTCAGGATCTGCAGAGCTAGGCAGCATGCAGGCCCAAATGGCCAAAGGGAAGCATCTAACCTCAAGATAATCATAAATAGCTTTCAGGCTGACCTTACATCCTTATACAGTTTGTTAGCCTTCGACCCTCTTCCCCATCTCTTCTACCCGTGTTTATCTATAAAAACCAATGTCTTAAGGGCTGAACCAATAGAGCCACACAAAGTGAACATATGAAAGCTGTAAGACCATTATATCACACAGGAAGTGCTTTTTGAAGTCTGCTAAGTGTCAAATAAATAAATTGGCGAAAAAAAAAGAAGCAAAAAAGCACGTATGCACTCAGGATGTCTCAAAGCTAGGCATTCTTAAAAGTGCTGTATTCCCTAAGAATTCACCCAGAGAGGTTACGAGAAACCTGCAGGCCCTGGTGTCACACACGCAGATTGGTCTTGGGCAAGTGCTTTCTGACTTGCTGACCGGTTTCATGCTCTATTGTTTTTTTATCTTTATTTTACCAGCTTTGGGGATGTCCTGCAAAGGGTGGCGATGGTACAAAGAATTTCAAGCCTATCTCCCACATCTCTCTTAGCATCAGTTTAAAGACATTCTCATCACATATCCAGTTTCCCCTCACCATTACCCTGCCTATCCCTGTGTAGTTTTAAAGGAATAACACAGCACATGTGAACACCGTTAGGATTTTCACCTCTACTTAGGAAGTAAACCAAAACAGATCAAAAATGCCAGCGACTTGATAAACTGTATAGCCCCAATTTTTATAATTTATATTCTCAGTGATTGAAGTTATTTCTTCTTTATCTCACACCCGACATTACATTTTATACATGCAATAGTATATTTTGTATATTTAAAATTTATTTTCTATATATTTTTTCTCAAATCATGTTTCTTAAAAGGGGATTGTGATCCCTTTCGTGCAAGCCAGCGAGCTCCCTGCAGCCCTCGGGTGGAGGGCGGTTGGGGATGCAGGCGGACGGATCCCAAACTCACCCTCCCAGCAGAATCAAAGTAGCCTTCAGCCAGGGATTTGTTATAATCGGCATAAGGATTCGGGAAGGCCCTTTGAGCCATGACGCCGGAAACGAGCCTGCAGGACGGGGGAAAGAGAGATCTCAGGCGGAGGCAGCGCCCGGTGGACCTCGCGGCCGCGACCCCCTTCCCTCCCGCTCCGGGCCACCGGACGGGGTCGGGGCTGAGCGGACTTAGAGTCCACTGAGGCCCGGTAGCAAGGGCACGGCACCTCCGCGAAAGGCTGCCAGGGCCCGGAGCCCACTGGAATGAATGGGGCCACTTCTGCACCCCACGTCCCCACGGCCGCGAGTCAAAGGAAAGGCGGAGGATGCGACCTGAAACCTTCCGTGTCCAAGGCCTCAAGTCAGGCCTTGTCTTACAATAACAGAAGCGGAGCTTTCACCGCCCACTTCCTGCCAGAAAGACCAATCAGAGCCTGCTCTAGGGTGGAGTCCCGCCTCCCCCTTTCAGTTGTTAAAGAGACAGCAGTGTGGGTTTTTTTTGTTTTGTTTTGTTTTTGTTTTTGTTTTTAGCAGTGTGGTTTTTAAACGGTAATACGGTACCTGCTAAATCCATTCCAGGATAGCAGCGGTGAAGATGTATCTTACAAAAAAGTACGAATGTACCCGTATTTTCTACCTTTCTTTAAAAAAAAATTTTAAGAAAGCAAATTGAAGTCTGCACTCATAAGAATTAGAATATTTTTTTAATGTGATAAAGAAAAAAGACTGTTTCGAAGTCTGAACATATTAGGATTAGATTACCTATGCACTAAAATTGTAGATGACGTGTTTCCAGAAACCTTAAGACCTTTTTATTTCATTTCAAAAGAAAGAAAAGGAACAAAACAAAACCACCACGGCCATTAGCAACATAATAAAACCAGGATATGTTGAAGAGCCATAACATGTCCTTTTGATATGGGGAAAAATAACTCCTAACCTGTTAGATATCAGATGTGCCTGAGTTCATGGTCTCACAACATCCAGGCACGTCCTAAACCAAAGGAGGAAGATAGGAGAGTTTTTTTGAAAATAATAAGAATAGCTCCTGGATTTCCAAGAAGAGTCCTTAGTGGATGCCACCGAGGCTCTTTATCAGGGGGTAATTTATACAGCAAAATCACAAGGTAGATACAACATGGGTCAAACTACAATCAGCCTATAGGATTACAAGTATAGTTGCTTGGTAAACGAGTCGTGTAGCAAGGGTATATGGAAAGATTAAAGGCATTTTTGGAAAAGGATGGGTACGGTTGTTCTGGTCACCCATCTATGTATGTTGCCTATCTGTGCCCACTGAACCAGTTGGTGCTAAAGCAGTATAATTTCAAAAATAATCCTGATTTCGAACCACTGAGGTATATACCCAAAAATGTTGAAAAGAATGGGATGATTTTGCTCCAGGATCCCTATTACTGATATGGCTTCCTGGAAAGTGGTGAACTCAGGAGGAACTTGGGGGGAAGAGGGGAGGGGAGGAGAGAGGAGGGGACTGGGGGGG